ACTTCTCCCGAATAGCGAAACCTTTACAACCCTAACCAGAAAGGCGTGGCCTTTGACTGGGAAGAGAAACAAGAGAGAGCGTTCCAAACGCTCAAGCGAGCCTTGTGCACCGCGCCAATACTATCTCTCCCCGAAGGGATAGAAGACTTCGTAGTCTATTGCGATGCATCGAACCAAGGGCTCGGGTGTGTTCTGATGCAGCGAGGTAAGGTCATCGCCTACGCCTCCAGACAGTTGAAGACACACGAAGTTAACTATACAACCCATGATCTTGAACTGGGAGTAGTGGTGTTTTCTCTGAAGATCTGGAGACATTACTTGTATGGAACAAAGAGCACTATCTTTACCGACCACAAGAGTTTACAACACATATTCGATCAGAAGGAGCTCAACATGAGACAACGACGGTGGGTCGAGCTACTCAGTGATTACGAATGCGATATTCGTTATCATCCGGGTAAAGCCAACGTAGTAGCAGACGCCCTAAGTTGGAAGGAATATTCTGGTCGCAGAGTCAAGTCATTGTCAATAACCATCCATTCACACTTGTCTAATCAAATTCAGGCGGCCCAACTTGAAGCCATGAAACCTGAAAATGTGACGAGTGAATCCCTTAGAGGAATGGACAAGAATTTAGAAGCCAAGGGTGACAGAGCCTTATACTTCATGGACCGGATCTGGACACCGAAACACGGTGGTTTCCGAGACTTAGTCATGACCGAGGCGCACAACACTCGGTATTCCGTCCACCCAAGTTCAGATAAGATGTATATGGATCTTAAAAAGCTATACTGGTGGCCTAATATGAAAGCAGAGATTGCTACCTTCGTAAGTAAATGCCTTACTTGCGCAAAGGTAAAGGTCGAGTACCAGAAGCCCTCCGATTTACTGCAACAACCAGAGATTCCAGAATGGAAGTGGGAGCGGATCACTATGGATTTCATAACCAAGTTGCCCAAGACAACGGGTGGACTTGATACCATATGGGTCATCGTTGATAGATTGACCAAGTCTGCACACTTCCTGCCAATCAAAGAAACCGACAAGATGGAGAAACTTACGAGAACATACATTAGGGAAATCGTACGGCTACATGGTGTACCAATATCCATTATCTCCGATAGAGATAGTAGGTTCACCTCAAGATTCTGGCAATCACTACAACATTCCCTGGGAACAAGACTAGACATGAGCACAGCCTACCATCCACAGACCGACGGACAGAGTGAGAGGACGATCCAGACTTTAGAAGATATGTTGCGTGCTTGTGTAATTGACTTTGGAAAAGCGTGGGATACCCATTTACCCCTCGTCGAATTTTCCTACAACAACAGTTATCACACGAGCATAAAGGCAACACCATTTGAAGCCCCTACGGCCGAAAGTGCAGATCCGCTTTGTGTTGGGTTGAGGTGGGAGATACCCAATTAGCTAGGGGGAAGCTTCTGACAGCACTCTCACCGGTCCGGAAATCATTCGGGAAACGACAGAGAAGATCGTTCAGATTCGTGAACGATTGAAAGCCTCTAGAGACCGACAAAAGAGCTACGCTGATAAACGAAGAAAACCTTTGGAATTTCAGGTGGGAGACCGAGTCCTTTCAAGTCTCACCCTGGAAGGGCTTGATACGCTTCGGTAAGCGTGGGAAGCTTAATCCTAGGTACATAGGGCCTTTCGAGATTCTCGCAAGAGTCGGCCCCGTAGCTTACAAACTTGATCTACCCGACACACTTCGTAACGTACATTCTACATTCCACGTATCTAACTTGAAAAAGTGTCTGTCCGCAGAGACTCTCGTAATCCCACTCGACGAGATCGAGATCAACGAGAGCCTCAACTTCGTGGAAGAACCTGTAGAGATCATGGACCGTGAGGTCAAGCAGACGAAACAAAGCCGTATCCCTATCGTGAAGGTTCGCTGGAATGCCAAGCAAGGACCAGAATTCACTTGGGAACGCGAGGATCAGATGAAACTGAAATACTCTCATCTTTTCGCTTAGTTATTTGTAACTTTTGATTTGCTTAAATTCTAATTTCGGGACGAAATTCCTTCTAACGGGGGGATGATGTGACAACCGAACTTCCATTTGTGACAACCCGAAATTTCCATTTGTACGAACATTACTATTCAATAGAAGCTAGTCAAGTTTCAGTGATTTTCAGACTTTTCCGAACAAGTTTGTGTACATTAGGGTTTACGTTTCGGGATATATCAGGAGAGTGGATGCTCCTGTATTTGTGAAACTTGAACATTTCAAGTTTCATAATGTTATAGTCCAACTTCCGGAATAAAAATATTTTCTGTCAAAATATTTCAGGACTATAAATAGATTTCTGAATTTAATTAATTCATTATTCACAATTCCAACTAGAGAAAAGCCATTTCTCTCTGACGGATCTTCGGGTTTTCATCCCGGATTGTGAGTCTACTTTCCTAAATGTGTTTTAATGCTTGTTATATGCTTTATAACGTTGTTTACATGTCTAAAATACAAGATCCGGGAGCTTACGGCCCAAGAACGTTCTTGGGGTGTAAACTCCAAAACGGAGCCTAAAGGCTTCCTAGTCCCGATTCCTTGTTAGACAACTTGTTTAGGGGTTAATGTATAAACATTTGAGACTAGAAATCAACAAAGAAACCCTAGTTATAGGAGTTTACGGCCAAGGAACTCTCTTGGGCCGTAAACCCCTTTTTAAGGGTTATAAGTGCCCTAAATCACCTCCTAAAGCTTAAGGACTTTACCATCTAATGCTTGTGCTTAATTTGGACACCAAAACACTTCAAAATCATAGGGTTTTAGGAGTTTACGGCCAAGGAAGGATCTTGGGCCGTAAACCCCTTTTTCAAGTGTTAAAGATGCCCTAAACACTCTTAAAGCCTTAAGACAATTAACCTTGACTACTTGGGACTTGAATGGGGAACAAATGACATCAAATCACTCCTTAAAGGGATTTTACAGCCAAGGAACACCTCTTGGGTCGTATACTCCAAGTGAAAGCACAAATGTGTGCCTAATGTTCCATTTAGCCTTAGATAAAAACATGGAAGCTATCCTACATGTGCAAGGGCCTTAAATGTATTAAAACCAACACCCCATAGGAGTTTACGGCCGTAAACTCTAGGGGATATGGTCCTTTGGCCGTAAACTCCCCAAAGGAGCATTCCAAGGCCTTAAACTACTTCAAGGATTATTCCAACAAGGCTAGGCTTATTCTAGGATCAAGATAACACTTCAAAACACCCAAAACCACCAAGTGAGGAGTTCACGGCCGTAAACTCATGGGTTCACGGCCGTAAACTCCAAAGGGTGGGGTTTGTTGGGTGGTGAACTCATATACAAGGTCATTGGTGCATTAAACCCCCTTTGCCTTGTCCCGTATCAACTTAGATGCAACCATTAGGACCTATAACACTTATATAAAGTGTATACATGTTCCTAAGTGTCTAACTTACTTTGTTAAGTTATTATTTGGCTAATTAGTTATATATATGCTCATTATATGATAACTAGGCTCGAACGTGTGAACAAGTCTCCGTTTGCCACCTAGCACGGTACCCGATACATCAATCCAATCTACTCACCACAAGTGAGTTCATACCCCTTTAATCAACCTTTGAAATGCTTTTAAATGTTTTAAATACTTTATGGGGGGATACAAGTTAAATACTTATAGTTATTGCATCAATCACATGTGATTGCATTAATCACATGTGATTAATAACTAGAAAACCAATGATTTTATCACTGTTCAAACTGTTTATCAAACTGTTTTACTTCAAAATGTTTTACAAACTCTTTTACTTATCAAATGCTTTTATTAAACTTTGTTTTACTTCTTATAAATTGCATGCCCATATATGTATAGATATATAAGTAATGTTTAAAGGGCTTAGGAAGGCCATCCGCCCTATTTCCTTTTCGCGCACTGAGATGTGGTCTGGTGGGATTTCGGGTGACCATCCGAGGGTCGTTTCCATATTAGTTATATATCATATATACATGTATAGACATAAAAGTACTTCCATATTCATATTTATCAGTACATCAATAGCTAGTTACCATCAGGGTAATACAATACATATACAACTATACTAGAAACAATACATATACAACTATACTAGAAACAATACATATACAACTACACTAGAAACGATACATATACAACTATACTAGAAACGATACATATATAGCTAGACTAGAAACAATACATATACAACTATACTAGAAACAATACATATACAACGATGCTAGAAACAATACATATACAACTATACTAGAACGAGAAACATTACATATACATGAATACGTTAATTATTGTGATTTAAATCGGAGCATGACTTAAATGTCATGGCTCGAGTTGTAGCCAGAATTCTCTTGGAGGGAGAGCGTGAGTTTGCGTATAGATCTATACTGGATTGACAATCCTACACCTTGCTGCTAGCTACAGCCGGACCTGCAGGTCTGCGGGTGCCAAACGTCATTCCGTTATTACGACCATTCATTATGTCGTTGTTACTAGTCGATAGTATGGTGCAATTTATCACATAATGCGTTAATATAAATCCGGTTTAAGGTAGTTAGTACAACAGTAGTTCTTATAATACAAGACTACAGTACTACAATGATTTACCCATTACATATTTTAGTGATAACCTCACTTAAACGTTAATGT